CCGACATTTTGCCGTTCAATCGCGGCTCTTGAAACGCACAAAGCTAATCTGTACCGGGTATGTGCATTGGGCAGATTAGCGTCACCGCACGATCGCAATTTCATTACTGTGATCAAGTTCTGTGATGTTTCCTCCAAGCATCCAGGTATATGCTAGGGGAAAAGTCTCTTGGATGAAATGATCGAAAGGATTACAACAAAGGGACATAAAACAACGGTGCCGAAGGGGATGAAGATTAGGGCACATTTCTGCAAGCAATATAACAACATAAGCGTACAGGTACCGATGTATTTTCGAGACTTGGTAGTTGAAAAGAGTGCTGTCAAAACCATAATTCATTTAACCTGTAGTCCCAAGGCACTGTTACCATAACGTGATCCACCACCGAGCGCCCACCCCCACCGAGCGCCCACTAACACCAAAATCACCAAATTTTTAACACTAAATTTCTTAATAACTATAGCACCTATTAATAACGCGCTTGTAGCAATTAAATCCTTAACTCTTAGAGAAGATTTTATATACTTAGAAATAGTAGAAAAGTATAGTTACTTATAGTTAACCTTATCTAGATACTACTAGAAAATTTAGTAGGTATATACTACTACTCTACTAAATAGTTAAATACTTAATACTATATAAGAAAGTAAGCTTATAGAGTATATTAAAGAGCTTTATAGGTAAGGATTACCCCCTATATAGACTATTATTTAAAATTTTATAACTAAAATAATAGGGAATCTAGTAGGTAAAAATTAGGTATAGCGCTTTATTAACTACTATAATATTAATCTTATCTCCTATTAGGCTACTAGGCTTAATTATAACTACTTTAAAGCTAATTCTACCTTTAAGTATAGCTTATACTTTAAGCTTTTATACTAAAAAATAGAGTAATATAATATTAAGAGTTAGTATATCTATAATATAGATAAGAAGGGTTTTCTTATTAGAGTACTATTAAAAACTAAACGTGTGTTTAATAAGAGCGCCTACAAGCAGAGAAAGATTAGAGCTATACTCTAGGATAGCAATAGGGAGTAGATTACTACTATAGCTTGCATATGCGCTAATAGTACTACTCTTACCCCTACCCTTATTTATTAGTCCTAATCTAGAGCTCTACAGGATACCTAGTTACAAGATTTTAACCTATTATAACACTAAGCTTTCTTTATAGGATTACTAAGTAGGTAGACAAGCTACACCCTAGGGGTATCCTAGCTTAAGGAGGTGTTTAATTGCAAGACAAAAGCTAAAGCTTATACTTTATACTAGCTCCTTATCCTTAATAGCTATAGATCTTACGTAATAATAGAGTTTATTAAGTACTATAATAAATATAAGATCCTACTTATAATATATCCCCCTTATAGCACTTACACCCTTTAGCTACTTAATATTATAGTATTTGCTCCCTTTGTAGCTTTATATAAAGCTTAACTATCTAGTTTTCTAGATAGCTCCTAAGGGCTTATAAGCATTACTAAGAGGGATTTCTACTAAACCGTTAGGGAGAGTAACCTATTCAAACGAGGAGAAGTGGGAGGGGTAAGGTTCAATAGTAGTAGTGCTATAGTGGAGGATATAGTTTAATGCGGGAACATAAGTAAAAAGATAATATTGTAAGGTTAAAGTAAAGTCACCTAGAGTTACTATTCTCCTATCTTCTAATCCTTTATACCTTTATACTATTCAATCCACCTAACCTTTTAGGCTAAGCCTTGTTTTTCTCCTATACACCCCTTACTATAGCACAAACCTCCCCCTCCTTTAAGCTTGGCCCTATTAAGCTTAGACCTTACTCTCCTCCTCCTAGTCTGTAACCCTAGTTCCTAGCTTGTTAAGCTTTAGGTAAGGGAGTAGGAGTATCTAGGGTCTCTAATCTTGAACCTAAACTTAACGAGACAGTTCTCCTCCACGCCCTAGCTAGACTTCCTAGATAGCCTAGCCCTAGGCGCCTAGATCCCTCTGCCTTCCGTTCCTCCTTAATAGCTCCTAGATGCTTTTTAACAGCATCTAGAGTCTCTAATTACTTAATGTGGAAGTTTGGATTACTAAGGTTAGGAATAATTTAGGAGATAGATTATTAGATTATATCTACTATAATTAGACTTATATATATAGAGCTTTAGCTACCCTTACTAGAGGGTGAATAATTAGTAAACCTTCCTTACTAGAGCTCCTGCTTTTTATTAGGCACTTAGCAGTAAGCTAGTAGTTGATTAGATAGTGGGTTATACAGGGGTATTAACTAGGATTAATTAGGATTAATTAGGATCAAGATACTCTATAATCCAGTTAATATCCCTCCTGCAATACACCCCCTAGGTATAGGTAGATCTTTTGTTGTTATTATAGTTAAGCTTATAGTTAGTAGGTAGTGTAGCTAATTAGAGTGTTGTATATCTAAAGGGTTAAATTAGCTTACCCTTTAGATACTAACTAGCGCGCCTTCCTTATTTAGCCTGCGCTTACGCGCGTAGATATTGTCTAGACAGAGCTCTATAACTCTATCTACCTAACTATAATCTTTACTATAGCTTAAGTTATAAAATTATCTAACCCTAAAGATCTAAACTATACCTATATCCCTACTAACCTATCTTAGTTAAAGTTAAAACCTGCTACTTACGCTCGCTCTACCTATACTGCCCTTATTACCTCCTACGCAGCTAAAGCTATAGTTACTAAAGCTACTACTACTAAAGAAGAGCGCGCTACTACTAAGCGTAAGGCTATAGTAAAGTGTGTAGTAGCTAAGCATACAGCTACTGCTACTATAGCTAAGATTGCAAAGCTAAGGAAGGGTGCTCCTGCTCTAGCTCCTACTACTCTAGCTCTAACTCTAACTCTAGCTCCTGCTCCTCCCTAGACCCCTCCTAAGGCCCCTACTCCTACTCTTGCTCCCTTTCTAGCTCCTAAGGAGACCCTAAGATCCTCCTACTATAGAGAGCCTAGCATTTATTATACTAAAACTTATCTAAATTATCTACGCTCTGCGCTCTTTAATAAGTCTAATAGTAAGTGCTATAACTCTTCTAGTAGGGGGACTTAGTGCTAGTAGTACTCCTCTAGGTATAGCTATATCCTAATATATATAATCTATATAAGGATTTTTCCTTTATAACGCTTAGCAAGATTATATACTAATAAACTAATAGCCCTAAGCTTACCTAATATTCTACGCTGTCCTTCCTAGTAAGGAAGCAGGTAGGTAAGAGCTAAGACCTTCTTAAGGATAAGAAGCAAAGGGTCTTAGTGCTCCTTAAGGAGAGTAAGGCTAAATAGCAGGAGCTAGTAAAAGCTACTACTACTACTACTAAGCTTGCGCGTAAGGCTACTTCTATAGCTAAAGGTGCCTAGAGCTCCTTATTAGAAGATAAGGACTCTAGCTCCTCTAAGGTTCCCCCTATAGATCCTAGGATAGGGCAACCTAGGCAGCTCCCTATAGACTCTAAGGCACGCTTTGCGCGCGTGATAGAGCTCCTTAGGGAAGCTACCTAGTTAATAATA